TGTAAAACATACGAAAATTGATTCATATAAAAATAATGAATAACAGGTAAATACTATCTCCATTGGATTAAGGGAACTCGATGTACTCAATAAGGATAAGTTACGTCATAGGAGCGCCACTGCTGCCTTCGAGGATGAGCCCGTTGAGCTCAGTTCTCTCCCAAGTCAGCTGTGATGAGTAAGTTAGTCAAAGCAGTGGTTGGCACGGTGCTTAGGTTGCAGTGTCCGGAGTGTGCGGATGTATTCGATCTCTACTGGGACATTGCCGAGGACATCGTTGACGCGGCCAGCGGGGAAGTCATCCCCTGGGTCTGCGCCAGGTGTCAGAAGAACAAGAAGGGTAAACAGAAAGACAGTGGTGGAGATGAGGACCGAACGAAATCTGATCGGAGAGGCAACATTTGCAGGCTAGCTGTAAGGGCTAATAAGTATTCCCTGACCACAGCAGAAGAAGAAGAAACGAAAACGAAAATTGATGATGATGTAAACAAGATGTCTGAGGTCCTTTATACCAGTGATGAAATGAAGAAGGATATTTCTGAGATAAAGGCTAACATCTTAGACATCAAACAAGAATTAGAGAAACTCAGGTAATGGAATGCATGCATTCGTGTATAATAATGCGTAATGTAACTTACATGCATTCTCATATAATCGTTATACGTATTAATAGTAATGATAAATTAAAAATAAAAAGTGTAATATTAAAATAGTTAAATAGCATAAAATAGTTTAATATATTTTTAAGGGAAGTGAGTCGGGGAGGTGTAACCGCTTAGATTTTTATTTTATCGAAAACTGTAATAAATAGAAACATTTTTATTGTTGCTAAAAAACAGTTCGAAATAATGCTTTTTTTAAATATTTTTCAGCTCAGGTGGTTATGGAACTATTTTTTTTTTTTTTTTTTTATTAGATTTCTATTATACGAATTGAATCGTATTTATAAGTGAAAAGCTAAATATTTCTAATCCTAAAATTTACGTTTAAAATAAATCGAACTGTTGGTTGCTTTAATTATTTTCAAGAAAAACTAAACTGTAGGACTAAAAACATTAAATTTTAATTCGTCAATAGGATCAATTCGTATAATAGAGATCTGTGTAAAAAATACAGTTTAATTACAGCTTTACCTGAAAAATATGTGAAACATGGTTTTTTAATAAATAAAAAGTGTACTTAGGCAATTATGTTTATTATAATGCATCCAAGATCATAGACAAACATGAAATAAAAGCACTTTCAACAATTAATTTTAGTCATTTTTGCTTTATACACTGGTACTAGTAGGCTACATCATAAAAAAAATCACATAATGTTTTTACATAACAGGGAAGGAACAGCTATAGATTTTTACTTTGTCGAAAACTTAAATAAACAGCAGTATTTTAATTATTAAAACTTGTACATGTGATAAGTATATAAGTATTTTTTTATTTTTTCTTAATAAATAAATAGCGTAAATACCCTACGCAATTATATTTATTAAAAAAACATGTACTACTAACAACCCATGAAGAGTCTTGGGTTCAGTTCAATGTGAGGAATAATGCATCCAAAATCACGGATATGTGAAATAAAACCTTTGTATTAATTAAATGTAGTTATTTTTGTTGAAAACTCTGGTATTTGTATAGAACAGAATAAAAAAATCACATAATTTTTTTGCACATCTTTAGGAGAATCTCAATTTTATCATAAATAAATCTCTACTTAATTAATAATTTCTTAAAGCTAATTAAACGAGATAGTTACTCTAAAAGTGGGGTATATAAGTAGTATAGTTAAATGATGATGAAACAAATCATGAATTAATTATGATTTCTTTTAAAAACTTAATTTAGGCGCTCAAAAGTCCCCTTTAAATGGTTTTAACAATGACAAACATTATATTTTTTTGAAGTAAATTTTATCTAGTTTACAGTAAAGCAATTGTTAATTACTTAAATTAATTATTTCTTTAGTTATCTCTTCCTATTCAACAAAAACACGACTTACATAAAAGAACACAATACTTTTATTTTCTACTGAAAATTGACCATTTGTTTGTATGATTTTTTTGTAGCTCTTAAGGTCTGCTATCATTCCTAAATACCTTATTTCAGAGCTGTTATATTCTTAATAATTACATTAATTTTAATTATTTAATGAAAATTAATGAAATTGATATCAGATCATTTTACATTATTCAAATTTTACCCAACTTTGGTCTTACTCGAATGAGACGTCATTGAAATATAGGTGTAGACAGGGGTGCCCAGAAGGGTAGCAAGGAGCGCCAACAAAATTTTAGAGAGGGGCATATTTTGACGGGTTTTTGAATTTTTAAGGCGGCATATTTATGAATTTTCGGACTAAAGTAGAAGGGAAAAACATGGAACAGGCGGCTGCAAGTGTAATTGTGTATGATCTACGATTTTTCTAATTCTATCCTAGCTTGCTTTGTTTTAAGGAAGAAAAAGTAAGCTTACCTCTGGGTATAGACAAAGTGAAAGTAGGAGATGGAATTTAGTAAAATTGATGCGAAATAATTTTTTTCAGTATTCCCTAACTTCCCTCTAGCTTTGAGCCTAATCGAACGAGTCATTTTTAAACATAGAAGTCCATTAATATACTCCCATGTCTCTCACCACTACGCTGAGTTAAAGTGGCTTTTCCCCTCCTTCCGAAGACAATATTTCCTAGGTACGTCCCTCTTCCAAATCATCAATAACCATCGTCCTTCTTACGTCTACAACCTTCTCCAGTTTAAATCCTCAGTCCATTCCCTGTCCACAAGATCTCGACCTTCTAATATTTACATGCCTTCTCACAGATCTGCCTCCTTCCAAAACTCCTTTTTTGCTCGCTCTGTCAATTTCTGGAATTCCCTACCTCTCAAAATTCGACATTCCCCATCCACATCCACATTCAAAACCCTCATATTCCAATTCCTATCCCAAAAACAGTTAGTTGCTTACCATTCGACAACATACATTTATTTCATGCCATTCATTGTCAAATATCAATAATAAATGATAATGTATTTATATATTAATCAGGCACTTTATATTCTCAGATTCATCTTTCTGTTTTTCTCAACAGAAACACAAAGCTTATTTTAATAAAGAATTTAATATATTTTTATTTTTTAATTCTTTATTGTTTTCTTAAAAGTGTATACTGGTTTATCAGTGCAAATAGCTTTAAGTGTCTTGTCGTAGTGTTAATTGTTTTGTATATATTTTCATTTTTTTTTTTTTTGTATATAGATGGTTACCTTATATTTTCTTTACATTGTTTATTTTTTTCGATTGATTTTATTTTGGCCAGATGTAATATTTTGTTCTATTTTGTTATTCTGAAGGAACTGTGTCTCAAAATAAAGTTATTTTCTATCTATCTATCTATTACAATACATTTGTGCATCCGGGAGCGGGAGTAGTCGATAGAAATTTACATGGAATTGTTATGAAGCCACATAGGTACAATCCCCAGCAATTCTTAAAAATTTCATCTAAATCAGATTAACACATGTAAATCATATTTTAGTTACATGGATTTGACTATTGTCAGACATGGTAACATTTTTTTTTTCTCGATGTTAAGAACGTAAAACTCATGTGGAAATAAAAACATTTCTTTCAACGCCTTTCACGAATACTAAACAATACACAAGTAAAGTAGAGAAGTCAAAAAATGGAAAAAGTATTGAGAATGCAAAATCCATAACGAAATACTACTATTTGTGTGTGCATTGGAAGGGTAGTTTATTGAACGTTTAAAAAGTTCTGAAGGTATTGAATTTTTAACGTAGTCTCTGGGATATCGGTATTGATTATGATTCTGAACCTTGACGAATAATTTATTTGAAAAATCGATATAACCTTTCTAGGGCATACTGAACTAGTCAGACCTATCTCATAGTGAATCCTAATAATTTTTCTTTCGTAAATAGATGCATCGATATCTAGTTTGTAAAAACACCTAAGAAATCGGACGGTACATTTTTTTTTTTTTTTTAACGAACCTAAATATTTAATAAAAGTGGTGTGAAAATATCATTATTTCCGTTATCGGCTTTGAATAATATTTTTTTTTCTTTTAGTTTAGAATGCTGTTTAGAAGCTAGTTTATGGAAATGGGATTATAAATAGTTTATGTATCACTTTACAAGCACTGAAGGATGTAAAATGATAAAGACAGTTTTAATATATGGCTGTGAGACGTGGACACTAACCAGCATCCTAGAAAAAAGTATTGAATGATTTGAGAGAAAAATCCTCTGAGCGATCTGGGATCAGGGTACTTACACATGGAGGGTAAAGACTAATAAATAACTGCTTACAGAAACAGGTTAATCTATATTTCATAATATGAAGGCAAGGAGGTTAAGATGGACGGGGCATGTAGCTCGTAGCAATCCATCTGGAAGCCTCTACGTATTAATGAATGCCTCAGTAGAATGCAAAATACGATCTACGATACGATTTTAATAACGATCTAAATAAAGGTAGGTTATACCTCGACAATAGTGTTCCCAAATCCGAGATCGAGACGAGTTTTAGTCTTGCGCAAAAGTCTCGCATGTCTTGCAGTAACTGATTACTATAGAGATATGACTGTAATTTTTTATATAGGAGAAACCTAACTTAGCCCGAATGAAAAATTATAATAAGTAAATGCAAAAGTATTGGTTATACCAATTCTATACGTTTAATAACTAAAATTATCAAGTATTAGTAACTATTTTGTCTTGATTTTTATTCAAAAAGCCATTTTTTTTTTACTAATCTTGATCTTGGTTTTGCAACAGTTAAGCGGCCCTGGCCCTTGATGATGCAAAGTGCAAGACCAAGACCGATTTTGTGCTTCAATACTCCCAATGCTATTTATAGTGTGATAATAAGTATATATGTTTCTATAAAAGTGGAGTAACACTTGTACAAAAGTACCCTAGTTTTTAAGGTGCCTGGTATTTTTGTCTTCGTTTTCTGACTATGAAATAATCTTTGTTTCAGATCTCTGATTTCAAACAGACCTGATGGCTTGACCTGATGAAACTCTCATCCTCTTAATATAACAAACATAATTATAAATACATGTTCTAACATAAATTAATTGAAATATTATGTTAATTGTCTTCAATTGATTTATTTCAGCATAAAATTATTTTAGATTTTATATAAAATGACAGAGGTTTTTGTAATAGGTTAATGTATTTCACCTAAATAAATAATTTATATGAAAACTATTTTATTGAACTCAATATTTTTCATTAATTTTTTTAACTGAAATCTTTGCATTTTTTTTTTTTTTTTTTTTTTTTTGTGGAGAGTGAATTATATTCAAGCGTCATATTTCCGATGTGTAACACTTGGGTAAAGTCGGTTGAAGTCGACTGATTGAAGGGTTTTTGCATATGGATTATAATATCCAAAAAAATAAAATTAGGACCTACATAATGTTAGCGAGGGAAACGTTTATCATTTCATCCTTTTTGTAATGGGATATTAATCAAAATTATATCTTGAAGCGACGCCGTGTTAGAGTGGCAAAAAAGAAAATATAGTGTCGAACACCAAACGAAAACGGGTTTTATGAAAGATTTGAGAAGAAAAGTATGAGTTCGCGTCCCGGTGCCAGAGGGGATTTTAAATTCCCCAATTACCCGCCCTCACCCTACGGCCCGGGAAAATCCCGTATAGCCTAAAGTATAGCCTAAAAAAAAGTGTTTTATGAAAGATATGGATTAAAATATCTCAGAAACTAAAATTCGGACCTGTATATTGTAAGAGAGGGAAATGTTTAGCATTTCATCCTCTTTGTAATGAGCTATTATTTATAATTTATATGTCATATTAATCTCGCCTTGTCGATGTTTTCATTTATATCGTGTGGGTCCAAAGCACACCTTCCCAAGCACAAGTACTCGGCCATAAAACAAGTAAATTAGCAAAAGACCTTTTAAAATGTCGTGACCTTTAACTAAAAATAATTACTTATCATAACTTAATACCAATATTATTCTTTAAAAATAATAAAAATTACTACGCATGCTTTCAACTGGTGTGACCAGAAACTTCAATTTACAGAGTGCATTAAATAACATACTTTACGAATGAATGCCTCATTTCTTACATAGGACAAGAAATTTTACGATTAAAAATTTTACGACCATTGCTTCTACTAAAAAAAAAGTAAAGAAATTGAAGTAAATTCTTATATTTTGGAATAGTTTATAAATGAAAATAATGGCTACAAATAAAGATTTTTATACTAAAAAATAAAATAAATGAAGAAATTTATTTTCTGTTGAAAAAGAAAGCTGTGAGGAGATATATGTTTTCTAGTTGTTAGGCATTCCAAAGTTGTTTCTAAAGCACTATATTTTTAGCTAAAGTTTTCCTTGATCCTGCTGTATACTACTATATATAGGTCTTTAAGTAAATGATCGATTTAGGCAACTCTATAGAACGATGAGGTAGAGGACCAAAATGGAATTTTTCGTTCCATTTTTTTATTATTATTTTTTTTTTGTGAGATATTTCGGCAATATACTATGTCTTTTAATTTTTGTTCTAAGTATTCAGAGATGTAACTAGTATTGAAACAAATAACATTTAATTGATAACATGGTAATCTTTGAAAAGTAAAATTTTGAATATTTAGTGAATACAATAAATCTTAATAATAGTCTTGAAAATATGCCGTACGCAGAGCAGCGATGGCCCTTAAAATTAATTACTTATGTTTTAATTCATCTTGTTATATTAAGGTGACCAAAGGTTTCGCTTTCGGCGGGACAGTTCCGATTTTTAACAATATGTTTCGCGCCGTTTTGAAAAAGCCCCGATCTTTGGAAAGAATGAACGTTAACCAAGGAAATAACAGAAGAATAGGAAGAGAATATACGATTTTCTGCGGCCATGTAGCTATTTCGCCAGGATATGAATTTTATATTATTTTTTTGATTTTATAATATTAAATTTGAATAACGAGCAATTGTTAAGAACTGATTATTGTAAACTGCTTAGCAAAGTTCGCATTGTTGGTCAGTTGTTAAAATTTGACTAACATTGTTTGGACTTAATGATAATAAACATTTCGAAAATGCTGTTTTTGATAAGGTATCGTTATTCAAAAAAAATATTGATAAGGAAAAGCTGAAATCTTTGGCATCGGCAAATTAACATCAAATACTACTTCGGTTTTCGAAATGTTGTAACCCTTAATAAGTTTTATAGCATTTTGAAAAAGAGGTACTTGAATATGTAAGAACTGCTGGCAAAAAACATTAAAGTCTTAAAAAATGTTATTTATTGAAGTCATAAATTAGACGTTAAATACATCACTGTAAGATAGAATAACTTCGGGACAGTGGGTAAAATTTATTTTGTGGTGAATCAGTGATGGATTCACTGATTTGGTTTATTCTACAAAAACGTGTTTTGTATAGTCATGTACTGCGATACTATTTTGCGGCAATTTGAGAACTCTAGTCCACTACACTCGATGTGCAGTTACGTTTTATTTATTTCCATTCCTGTTTTCAAAATTCTAGTTTTCATGCAACTTTCGCTTGTGCCTCAAGAACTGCGAACATCAGAATGCCGAAGTATTAATATCGCCCACTCAGAAATCGACTTCTAATTGGAAATGGCCTTCAATGCTCGATGGATCGAAAAATTTTCAAATTGAAAAAGCTGTAAGTTTACAGCGATCTCTTGGCTTCAGTTAACAAAAACTAAATTATACGAAGTGTTTTTTCAGTAAATTTCCAAGAACTAATTGTTAAAAAAAAATATGATTTGCAATATTTTTGTACGATTAATACGAATTTATTGTTCTTATGTGCTATCTATAGTGTAGTATTCTTGAATCAAATTGGCTAAACATTTATGGTGTAATTATTTGTTGAAGAAATACTATAAATTACTCATCTCTTTTGGATTTGAACCAATTTCTAAGACACCTGGTGTGAATGTTGGCACTTCAAACAATAATTTTTATTCCTCGCCAAAAACAACTTTTTATTTATAAAATCTCGAATCTCTAACTTGAATGATATTGGTATTGCATTAAAAATTTTAATAATGATTCGAGTAAAATTATATATAATTTTCGTTGTTTGAAGTAGATTTTGCAATCATGAATTTTCTAACTTTTTGGATTTCCAAATATTCCGGGACTCCTATTCTCATCTCTGTGATTAGGTCCTTGAGAAACGGTAATATTCAAATTTTGTGCAATGTGCTTTGTGCAATGATCTTTCTCTTTGAACCATTTTCCTTTTTATTATGTTCGTTTTTCCTGATTTTGATGTCATAAGGTTATGTTTTTTCATAATTTACGGCCATATTCCACCAACATTATATTTCTTTTATAATCATTAAACTAAGGCTATTTTCAAGTCTTAATTTATTTCTCCAACTAAATATCCATATTAAATATCATTTTTCTTAAACTAAGAAGAATTAAACTGTCCTATTATTATAGTGTTTCCCCCTTAGTCATCTATGGAGGGACTTGTAGGAGTCAGTTCTTCCATAGATAAAGAAGGGGAAACCCTAAAATAATAGGACGTAGGGCCCTAAAATAGATGACGAGAAGCAAGGAAAGGTGAAAATAAATAAATGGTTACCACTCTAAGTTTATTAAAAAAACCATTTTGAACTTAACTTGGAATTCAACCACACATTAGTTGAGTTTTTTGCCATTTATGTTAACTATTGTTCGCCGAGTGGTCGAAATTCGATCATAGCCATTAAAAGTTTGAGAAAAACATATAATTAAATAAAAAATAAATTAAATAAATAAAGAGTAAATCAACAAAATTTCAATTTCAATTAAAAATCGAGCTTAAGCTTAAGTAATAAAAAATAGACTCATTAAAGAATATTTAATTTATGTATGTTATTATCTCAATAAATTAATGTTATGATTAAGCAAGTAAAAAATAAATTTAAATTAGCAATTTCAATTCACTTTAAATCCATTTTTATTCAGAACTTCTATGTAAACAATGTTCTTTTTGAATGTTCTGTTATTTATATTTTCAATGGCTATGCACTAAACAGTGCATAGCCATTGAAAATATAAATTTCAAAATTTTAAATGAACGTGCTCTACTTGCTGCCACATATAATTTTCCATTACATGTGAAATTCCTGGACGTCCCAATAATACTCACATTTCTCCAAAACATTTACCCTGCGATTTTATTATGGTCATAGCAAATGCACCTATTAATAGGAATGTTGTTCTTTGAAAGTCGAATGTGAGTAATGTGTCAGAAAATATTAAATTAATTTTTGGAATTAAAATACTTTAATTTAAAATAGCCCCCGTTAGTACTTCACCCTCATTCGTGTTTCATTAACTAATGCTTATGCAGTATTCAAGTTAAGAATGAGCACAACTATAGAATTTACTTAGAACATTCCAATAACATTCAATGATATCTTCAAATAATAGTCCAGATAGATTACTTTATTAAATGTAAAATTTTCGATTTATCAAAAAACAAAATAATGAAAATCGACTTTGCAAAATAAAACGTACTAAATGTTTAAAATGATATATCTCTGCAAAAAATAGTCCGATTTCGATGGTTTTTTTTTTTTTTTTTTTTTTTATAGGAAATCAAGAACACCCTTTTTGTAGGAAATCAAGAAAGCTTTCAAATAAATACTGGTATTATCAATAAAGTGTCATGGCTGCAAGTGAAGTTGAAGATTCACGTCGCTCTGTATTTGTTACTATGTAATGTGGTTATTATTTAAAATTCTGGTGTAAGACTATATTAACAGTGACTATATAAACAGTGGTACATTTTATGTCACATATGTTCAGGTTAGTAACTATTGATTAACAATGAAGCAGTAATAAATTAGTGCTCGTTCGGCAAGCCTAAGTGGCCCGTAATCCCTTACGGGTTTGCCTTATCTGTAATAAGTTACGGTCAAGACTCGGCTCTGTGTATACTAACATTCTTCGGCTTTGTTCTCAGTTCGAATCCAAGACATTTAGGTTTTTTTTTTTTTTTTCTTTTTTTTCTCTTTATATTTTTAATATTTTTCAGGAGACTTTTATTTTATTTTCTCATTAATTAATTCTGAAATGAATTATTTTATATTATATCTGTATATAGTTTGTAAATAGTTTACTTCTTAAGAAGCTATCTTATAATTTTCATTTTAATATTTAGGTTTAAAAAACATTTTTT